CCGCGGCTGTTGGCTCTGAAGCGTAGTGGTGGCGTCGTGGACGGCTGCGTTCGGCCGCCCGCCGCTTTGATGGGCAGCCCGGGGCTTAGTGGCCTTCAGGCTGGCAGGGGGACAGGCAGCCTGCTGAAGGTGGCTCCTGGAAAGAGCCCCAGGGTGTTCTTTAGGTGTGCTGAGGTTAAACCCAGAGACTGCAACACAGTTAAAAGCCTGGCCTAGGCCCCTGGAAGAGCTGGGGCATCTCGGTAGCACTAGAGAGACCAGGATGCCACGGTAGGACAGAAAACGGAAGTCAAACTCCCTGCCAGAAATCATTTCCATAGTCACAACAGCAGAAGATACCTCACGAGGCCCCGTGGAGCCCGAGCATGTGTTTGATGGTGCAGTCGTGGACCCAGGTGGAGACCCCCAACAAACAGCCTCAGCCCTAGCTGTACCTTTCCACGCACACAAGGGGGTGAAATGCAAAGCCGCTTCTCCCCGCCAGGTGAATGAAAAGCTCCAGCCTTGAGAACCACAGTGGTTTTGCTCTTAAAAAGCCCCGATGGGTGCCCACCGGGCCTTTCCCTGCCCTCCCCATCCCTCTCCGAGCTGTGTTTCCCAGGGCCTGATGGTGGGGAGCAGCCCCAGGCACTCACATCGCCTCCCCCCTCCTTGCTTCAGAGTTACCCTGGGGAGCGTTTTCCACTGCTTTTTTGAAAACTCAAAAAATAAAAAATAATAAAATACAAAAAATACAATGACAAATGTTGCGTTCACTGGTAACTGGTTGCTTAAAGCAAGGCAAACTTCCCGCCGCATACTTCTCTACGCCGACTGAAGCTCCTTTTTCCTTTTCCCCAGGTCCCTTGTTCAGACCTGGCTTGCAGACAGATGAGCGAGGCCGGGGGAAGCCAAGCTGCTCCCAGCAGGAAGGCCAGCATTGATGAGTCCATCACCTGGGCGGCAGCTGCTCCCAGCCGGCCAAGGGGTTGATGAGCGTGGATCGGCGTGGGCAGCACAGGAATGCGAGGCAAGCCATGCCACGCAAGTGCGTGGCTGGTGACCCCTCTCGTGGGTATCAAGGACATGGGGAAATGCAGGGAGAGGTCCATGGGAAGGTGATGCTGCTTGGAAAGATGCCACATCCTGTTTAGGCACCTGCTCACAATCAAGCATACCCCTGTACAAATACTAGAAGGTTGAAAATAAAAAATATCTCTGAGGATGGAGATCCCACAGCCTTCCCAAATCCCCGCTCCCATTGTGCCATTCGTTCAGCCACAGTATGGCAGTGGCTGGGACACACCAGAGAAGATTTAATGTTCATCAGGGATAGAAAATAACACCAGGAAAACTTCCATTACCCTGCTGTAGGCTGGGTGATCATCATTTAGGAGCAAAACACCAAAATGACATCTCTGATCACCAAAATCAATGACCTGGGGGAACAACTGCTCCAAGTGCCCAGCTGGATGCCCTGCTTCCCACCCTGGCTGCTCAAGAGCATCCTGCAAAAACCACAACTGTCCCACAGTCGCTGGTGGGGGCAACACAATCCACTCTAGTAAAAATAAAAAGAGGAACTAATAAAAATAAATATGGTTAAAAGAAAATAGAAAAAGGAATGTTTAACAGCTTAAAATGCGTACAGTCGGGTTGGGGAGCATACATGCTACGACTAAGCATGTATGTGTCTCCAAAAGATGCCCACCCCCTTCACTTGCAGCAGGCTTAAACAGCAGCAAGGAGAAACAAAATGTAGAAACAAAAAGACATCCTCTAAAAAAAGGACATTGTTCCCAAACTGGGAAATATCAAAGATTAAAACCTCAAGCAAGTGAACCCCACACTGAAGGAGCATGGGTTTTGCTGGCTGCAGGGCAAGGCGAGCAGGAGAGATTGGACACCAGCATCCTAATGCTGCCAGCTCCAGCCCTGGTTTGCTTCTGCTTGGACATCTTGTCCCATGTGCAGTTGTGAAAGCATGGACACAGCATAAAAGTAACTACTCATTGGCCAATACAGGTAGTAAATAGCCGGGCTAGCACTGATATGCTGGAAGTGGAGGACACACGTGTCAAGTGTCCCCTGGGAATTGCTAGGGACAGTGCTTTGCCGTGGATGTCCACTCAAAGCCAAAGCTGCAAGAGGGCATGAGGAACAGCTCGGGAGGAACTAGGAGTACACCAGCAAGCTTCAGCTTTGGGCTACAAGGACCCATGGTATACTCACTCTGCTCCTGCTGCTCCAGCTCAGGAGGCTCCCAGCTCCCCCATCCCCTTCCCTTGACCTTTTGTCAGTGGGAGCAGAGTGGTTTGACAAACCCAGCAAAACAATTGAAGAGAAAAGAGCAGCCCAATGAGGGCTTTATGCAATACAAAAGGAAAAATTACGACAGCTCATCTTACTCAAGCACACTTCCTTCCCCCAGATCTGCAACCGGCAATGCTGGCAGGAAGCCCCCACCAAGTTTTCCCAGCTTCATCCACCCTGGCCCACCTGTTCCAGGGTTGGGGGCTGCACTGCAGTGTCCAGCTGCAGCCACCCAGGCTTTCCGAGCAAGCTGGGTTGGGCACCCCAGCTCCCAGCAGGCTCATCCTCAGGCTCCATCCCCGCCATATCCCACTCCAGCCAGGCGATAGCGGCTCCAACGCTCCCATCCCACTGCAAGCATTGTTATGATGCTTTCTCACTACGGCCGGTGCCTGGCTGCAATGAAACCAGGCCAGAGCTCTGTTGTCTTCTTTTATAAAAACACTAACCCATGGAGCATTCGTCAGGGCTCAGAAATTTGCTGCTAGCACTGCGATTCTCTTTGCTTTCTGCAAAAATACACCCAGCTCCATAACTGTAAGACAGCAGCAGGTGAATTGCATCAGTGTCTTATAATGCATCACGATCACTCAATGTTAGCTTGCTGGAAGGGGAACCTACAAAGCAATTAACAAAAGCTTCACGTTAACTATCTTTAAAAAAAATCTACAAGCCTGTATGTTTTTCTAAATGACTTTTTTTTTTTTTTTTTTTTACTTTAGTGCCCCAAAGAGCATAAGAGATAGTTGCCAGGAGCCGGTTCCTCTCTGCTCATGGAAATACTGTTACTGCAGACTGCACAACAAAATTTGAAGGCTGCTTAAAAAAAACCACACAGCCCTGACCTATGCCACAGTGAGAACGGCGCTGGCATCGTCTGCCAAACAAGGAGGCCCCACTACCCCAGCAGTGAGCCCCGACACAAAAATTTCAGACCCCAACCCAGAGTCTGAGGGGAGCCAGCTCCCTGTCTTCTTCTCAGCCAGGTGCTACCGATGGCTCCCAAAGGAACCAGTTTCCTCCACTACCAGCTTTATTTGCCTACTGGGGGACTGGGCTGGCCCCCAGCAGTGCTGTGAAAGGTTAAAAGTGGGGCAAAAAGGGCGGGTTTTGGCTAGGGTCCCTTTCCTGTGCTCAGCGGGAGGGCTGGAGACCCCCCAGTGTAGCCCAGGGAGGAGATCACCCCATCCCTGCAGGGCAGGATGCTTTGGCAGGGCTTTGGCAGGGCTTTGGCAGGGCTTTGGCCGGCGTGAATGGGGCTGGTTGGGTTTGGGGGGGAACACGCCCTCCCACAGCCACTGCTCCGACTTCCTCCTTTCTGCCCCAGCCAACTGTAAGACAGAAATAGGAAGGAAGGATTGGGGTGCGTTGCGAGGCTCCCGATGTCTGGCTGCTTTTCCCAGCCAAGCTTGAGAAGCTGAGACCATCCTCATCGCAGCCCGAGCACGGGACAGAGGAGAGGGCTTGATGCGAGGTGAGTGCAGCATCTCCATTTTTTTTTGCTTCTGTTTCTCTTTCTGGGTGGGGAGGCAGCTGGGCAACAAGGCGGTTTCGTAGCTCTGGTGTTTCCAGTGAATTTGTTTTATAATTCCTCGTCTAACCTCTGGCCGCTTGAGTCCTTAGATGGGCTTCAGGGAGCTCGGTGCAGTGTCCCTGCAGCATGCGGCATGGCGCAGCAATCAGTCTACACAGCCTTTGCAAAGACAGCTTACCTGGTCTGTAATGTTTTTTGCTTTTGGAGGTAGGATTAAGCCTGGAACTGCAGGTGGTTATTGCGGGGGAGGGTGTCAGACCCCCAACAACTCCTTCCTCGCCACCGCATTGGCCTGGAAAGCAGAGCAGAGAGGGGTGCAGCGTACTCCCCCTGCACTCTCACACATGGCGCTGGGGAGAGCGGTGCTGGCTGCGTACCCAGCCGGCAGCACCGGGCAAGCACTGGGGCTGGGGGCTGCACCGGCTCCTCGCGTGGTACCCCCCACTTCCCCCTGGGATCCCGTACAAGCGCCCACCGCCAACTGCAGGGTGTGATGGCTCAGAGGGGTAGAGGGAACCGGCGCAGCAGCATGGCACAAGGGCGGTGGGGATGGCT